TAGCACATACGTAGCCTGCTACAAATTGTGCTTCCCCAGCCACATATATTCGCGGCCTGGCCACACTGTTTAGACCTCTTTGCGAGGTTCCTTCCATGTCGTCGCCGTTACTCTTCTCGCCTCGTATCTCGGGCTCCCGCTGGTGGGCTTCCTCTCCCCACCTTTGTTTCATCCCCCGTTCCACTCGCAATATTTTTTACAGCCCTTTGCTAGTCCCCCCCCAGTTCTCCTTCGGGCACGCAGTCTTTCAGCGCGGGGTGCCCGTGCCCGTCTTCTTCATACCCGTCCATCCTAAATGGGCGCTCAGGGGCTAGCTGCGGTATTCTCCTTGGACCAGCACCGGTGGGTTCGTCGCTCCTCCCCCTATCTTATCCGGGGGGGGGGGGTACTCCGAGGGTCGTGCCGGCCGGGGACCCCCGCGGGAAAGGGTTGCCTACCGCTATACTACGGGGCGGTTCCCTTCCGCCGTATTCCTCCCCGTGCGGGTGTTGATGCCTTTGAGGTGAAGGGGCCGAGGTGCTGTAGGGCCAGGGGATTGTGTTGGGGTGGTTTTTTTTTTTGTCTGTTTTGTTTTTTTTTTTTTTTTTGTATATGGATGAGAATGCCAGAGAGAGATTTATTGCCTTGGGACAATTAGTCCCAATAACAGCACCTTTACTTGGGGGGGGTACAGCTAGGACCACTCCACACATGCATAGGGCAAACGACATTAAATTTCTCGCTCGTGAACAGCTACGGGACAACTTGACGAGGTCGCGGGCTTATGTCCCATTGGTTGCATCTTTTTTGTGCAGCCATGCATCCATTCATAGAAGAGTCTCTAGGAATCTTTTCTCCTCCTCCAGTCTCAGTGAGCCAGGAGCAGGGCTGGGGTACGACGAGACCCGGTCTGGTCCTGACACCCTGTCACCGCCTGCCAGATCCTCCTATGCAACAAGAAGTGTGGTTCTCTCTGCTTGAGAGGAGAAAACCATCACTGCGCCAAGTGTGGAAGGGTTCGTATGTCTTAGTGTAGGTGTCTCTGTGGAGTGAGTGTGTGTATATAGGGTACGTACGCTATGCTGTTAGTGTGGAGGTCTGTGGCTGGGATCTATATGTATATACTTCTTGTCGGATCTGTGCGGAATAATATTATGCTGTTTAGGTGCTTGTTAGTGGGCATTGGGTATAGAGGTCTGTGTGGTACACATGTGTTAGTGTGAGGTTGTGTTAACCCTCGCGCCGCAGCGAGGTTACAGTAGTTAGTGTTTGTCTGTGTGTGTGGCGACGCTTATACAGCTACGAAGCGCATGTAGCGATTATAACAGCGGCTTCAGAACTACGCGAGCCTGAAAAATGAATGAAAGGGCGATTTTCCTGAGAACGACCTCTATGCATCATCAAGAGATATGCCGTGTGTGGATGTGGAAAACCAAGCGAAAAAGCCATATGCCTAATTCCGCACTGCGATCTGTGACTGATCCGCTCACTCTATGTACCTTGAGGGCTCAGGAAGTCAACAAATGGCATTGTATCGACTCCCGTAGCGTGATAGTAACTACTGTAGCTAGCCCGTGTCAGACTCTCCGCGAGCTACTAGGGGGACACCACAGTATTTAAAACAGCCCAGCCATCAATTAGCAGTATGCGCATGACAGTTCGCCGAGGGTTTTCATGCTAACAGAGTTAGTGAGCAAGCACAAGGAAAAAAATGGCTACATCGTCAACATAATCTTCTTAACCCTCCTTGTATTTTACATGTTACAGGTTGTGTGCAGTGGATGTTCGGTGGAGAGACGTTATTTAATCTACCTACAGAAGGAAGGCAGGGTCTGCAATGCATGTATTAAAGGTACGTATGGTTTAACTTACTTTTCTGAAAAGTTATAATCTGCCTTCTCACAGAGTTTTCTGGCCACAAGTCACCAGGTGATGCCCACTTCAAGGACCCTATGGTATGAAGTTAAATTTATTGTGCAGTCGAATTTTACGTATAATACTGTCACGATACGTGACATAATAGCTAGCTGTAATAAAAGAATTGTTGATAGTACCATCTTAAAACCCTTTGGACGCCATGGTAAATAAGCAGAAATTGATGTATAAGGTATTAGCTGGCTGTAGTATAACTCCTTTATAAATTCTTATGTATTTATGGAGGCTCTGGACACATTTTATGTGTTTCGTGGCTGATTAAGTGTTAATCCTGCACTGAATGCACACATCCATCTCTGGTGAAGGAGGGAGATGAAACGACTGTAATGTCTGGCTATGTGAAGAGGCTCTGCGGTGGAAAGACGGAGGACAAGTTTTACAGATTATTTGTCAATAAAACACTCTACATCTATGGTGCCCATCAGGTAATGATAGAAGAACAACAGACCTTTTCAAAACTGCTCATAATCTCATCGTCATTCATAGGACACAACAGCAACACATGTAATGATGCTGATTGGATATTCTGTTCAAGGGGTGAGCTAAGTACACGTCTCTCTAGTGCAATAGCTATCCATTGAGGATTATCTCTCTCTATGGTGTATGAGCAGGACCAGGGAGGCTATAGGATAACTCTTACACACCATCAAGATAAAGAAGAGTTGAATGATTCATTTGTAACCACAGCTAAAGACTACGAAAGGTGTGTAGCTATCATTGTTTGGAAACATGGATAATGTATGTTTCCTATTGTAGTTGGCTCGATGCTTTGAAAGCTGCCTCAAGGTCCTAAGTTTTTCAATCGAATTATAGCTGTGTCTTTTTAATCTTTCATAATTTATTATTTTTTTTATTGTGACCTACATTTGCATGTTCTATATAATTATATCAGCACCAAAATCGCAGTATAATATTTACGCTAGATAGTTTTCCGACCAACTGACAATACTATGTAGCTATATTATAATATTATAATTAAGCAAAAACATTGTCACTTCACTTGACAATAATTAAAGGGACTGTGGCAATATACAAGTGCTAAATTTTTTATGACAATAGGGGCACAGCAAAAGGATGCAATTGAGTTCCCATTTCTAAATTTTGCCCTTATAAAAATACTGCCACATTCCATTTAATGATTGCTATCTCCTCCTCACTGATTTTCCTTGGCCTTCTGACGAAAACCCCCCCGAGGACTTTCAACCAAAAGTACCGGGCACACCGAGATGTTGCCTACTTTGGGCCATGTTATCACTTTGTACAACCTAACCGTTCCATGAACTCCCTCGTCAAGCATTGCATCCCATAACTTTAACCAACTGACTTCATTTGCAATTCGGGTTGCAATTCTAGTGCTGTCTCTTTCGTGTCCCTTCTCCAAGGTTATTTGCCAGTCTTGTTTCATGATTTCTTTGGAAAGGGCTTTTCTTTGACCATAAAATTCTCCAGAGAGCACTTTCTCTGTGTATGAGTCCAGTCCAGTGTGCTCCTCTAGGATTTCACACTCATGTATGGGGGAGAGGTGCAAAGGATCAGAGGAATTGTATAACTTTTATGCCATTAACTTCAAATGGAGAATAAAGTTAAGCTTTCTTGACAAGATTCTGCGGGCCACAGCAGAGCAATTCTGGAGGAATAAGTATAGTGATATTGAGTGAGCTTGAGAATTCTTCTCCCAATCTCTCCTTGGAAAGATTCCAGCTGGCAGATTAGGGTTGAGGTTAGCTGCCAGTTTTCACAGCCGTACAATAGTATGGGTACAACACATACCTCAAAGAGAGACCTTCCACTTAGCGGGTTAAACCTTTGGGCGCAATTTACATATTATATATATGCACATAGCCTCCATAAGTGCATAAGAATTTATATAAGGCTATAATACTAGGCGCTAATATGTTATACATCCATTTCTGCTTATTTAAGGAGACACCTATGGCGCCCAAAAGATGTCCTTCAAATACCTGTGAGCGATGCATAAAGAAGGCTGTACTAGATTTTGCGATCGCTTCATCAATGGCCTTCTTTGCAGACAGGTCCCATGACAACCAATATCCTAAGCACTTCACTTCCTTGCTAGCAAAAATATCTTGTCCATCAATATTTGTCATCATTGAGTTGGAGCATTGTTGAGTGTGGCTATTATATCTGAGGTAAGCACTTCACATTTCTGCACATTGAGACTGAGCCCACTGGAGTGTGCGACGTTTTTCACCATTTGCACTTGCTTTTCCAGACATTCCTTGCTACTGGTCAAGGTCCTGATGTCATCGGCGTGGGCTGATGCACCCAAGTAGACATCTCTGAATGACATGCCGAGATCTGCTAACTCCATTTGGTTGAGGAGTGGGTCCATGATGACCTGAAACAACAGTGGTGATAAAACTGAGCCCTGTCTGACACCTCTTCCCAGGGAGAAAGCAACTGAAAACTCCCTACCAACCTTCACCGCTCTGTAATGATTGGTACCATGCACGAACGAGTCTCCAGAGCTTGCCATTAAGCATCAAAGAGATGACACAGTAGGACAACATACTCAATTGAGTCGAACGCCTTTTGTAGGTCATAACAACATAGGTAAGTTGTCTCAGACTCGTGAAGGTAGTGTGAAAGCACTTCTGTGGTGGTGAAAATGGCATCAGTACAGGAAACATGCTTAAGATACCCAGTTTGATTGATATTTGGAATATTCAGATCTTCGAATACCAGAAGTAACCTGCCAAGTATGAGCGTCTCCAGTAGTTTGGACAGCACAGGTGTCACAGAAATTCCTCTGTAGCTTCCTCTCTCTAGAGGATCTTTGCCACCACCTTTGTACACAGGGCAGATTGCTGCAATGTTAAGCGTGTGAGGAATTTCTTCTCGCTGAATAATTGCATTGAAGATTTGCTGTAGCCAAACTTTGAGAGTGTGACCACCATATTTCAGGTGTTCTGATGTTATACCGCTCAAGTCGGCTGCTCTCTTAGGTTTCAATTTTCTGATATATAGCAGACCGTTGAGAAAGGAACGTCCAGAGCAACCTCTTCATTTCCATAAGTCAGCTCTAGTAAGTGTTTTGCTCTATCATTTGCAGCTTTTACAGTATCGTTTTCATCCCTCGCTTTCCCTAGCAGTTCAAGTGATCCCTCCAAGCCTGAAGCACAGCAGGTGGATCAGAGACAATGTCACCAGACACACGAATTTTTGATCCGCACTTATTGGACTTGGAAGTTCTGAATCGGGATGGAAACTTGTTTCTGAAATCACGATTGATTTTCTCAATTCTCTTCCTTGCTTTGCAAATTTTTATTCTTTTCCTTACTTCATTGCGTAGAGCCTTCTTTCGCTCATGGAGAACACCCTCCCTGGGGCACCCAGCCTCCTTCCATTTATCCCAGGTTCCTTTTTCTGCTTGCATAAGTTGGAGAGTGTGGAATCTTTATACCACTTGTTCTGTTTCTTTGCTGGCGTATGCAGTGCCAAAGTAGATAATGCAGCCCCTTGTATCAACCTTGAAATAGATATTATATGGTCATTTATTTCTTCAACATTGCTATATGAGGCCCCAAGGACTTTTGTGACTGTTTTGGAGATGCGCTCTTGATATATTGAGCATTTCCCAGAAGACACTGCACTATCCCATTTGATCTTCTCTTTCATTATCTCCGGCATGGAGCAGTTGATGAGATTGAAAGTTCACAGCTTATAGGAAGGTGATCAGAGGAGTTAAGGCCGTGATGATCATGGGTATAACAGGAATCAATATTCTGCAGTCACGATATCAGAATTAAAATAGGTGTACATTGGACAACTACCAGTGGGTGAGAGGGAGGCTGCATACAGAGCACACATATCCACCCACTGTTGTATTAGTAAACCTTCTGGGTTAATTTTACTGGACACTCCATCTTTCAACCCAATATGAGCATTGAAGTCGCCCACAGTACACACACAGCCAGCACTTTGAGCTTCGGTTACAAGGCGTTCCAATTCAATGAAATGACTTCCATAGTTTTGAATGTCAGTGCCTGCACCAAACACCAATGATTGTAAAGCTGGTGCTGTATGTTTTGATTCAGATAGCACACAAACGGTCACCCTGTATTCCTGATATCGGAGTTTTTCTCCACAGTATACCCACTGGTTAGTTTGAACAATCTGTAAGTCTATTGTCAATAACAACTTCGGAGTCAAAACCAGCATGAACTGTCGAATGCTTGTGTGCTTCGTATGGCCAGAGCCAATGTTCTGTAACAACCAAAATATCCGACTATACCTCCGCAAGATGATACAGGTAAGGTTCACCTGTGTGTGCAGACCCCTACAATTCCATGTTTTATTCTTAGCTTACTAGATTCTACACTCCCTTTGTGGTGACTTGGGGTAATTTGTTGTAATGTTGGGAGGTTGGCTAGATTTTGGTCTCCACAATTGGGCGTATATGCCCTTGTCCTGTTGAGCAGCAGTTAGTGCTTGGTGCAAGTTGGACTTGGGGATAGTCACTTGGCATACCATAGGAAGCTTCCTTCTTTTAATCTTGTGTTTTAAAACTTTGCACCTTAGAATCTTAACAAGACTTGATTTGCAAAGTGATTGTGGTAACCGGTAACCAATTCTAAGATAGACTTGACATGTGTCAGAAGTTAGGTGTATCCCAATAGGTTATTCGTAATTGGCTAACTTGAGCTTTCAACTTATTGAGCTCTTTTGTAAACTCCTCTGATTCATGATATGTTCTATTCTGTAGAGATATAGGTGGTGGAACATTTGGTGTCAGTTCAACTGCAACAGGGACACCATGAGGTGGCATGGAGAAAGTTGAATTTCTTTGGCTAGTACTAGCATCATAATGGTCCACAGCAACACCACACGTGTCACATTGGGATTGGAGCGTAGACGTGTTGTTTTGAACAACTTCCATACATGAAGTTTGACTATGCTCACCACAATGCGCGTTGTCAGGGGCATTGGGTTGACCATCAGCACTGGGCTGCGATAATGTCATTTGCGCTAGAAATTGAGTCATTTGTGATTCTAGATTGTTTATTCCTGGCTGATGTAAACATTCCTGAGGTTTTTTCCCATTTCTCAAAAGCGTTCTAGGGATGTGATACCGTTTTTCAGAAGGTATACAAGTGTCACTATCATTTGCTAGTTTTATCTCTAGACGTGGGCCAGTACCTCTTTTTTGCCTTTGTACTATAATATCGTTGGGATGAGCTAATTTACAGGCCCTTGCATACTCAAAAAGATCAGTCCTTACTTGTTTCAGGAGTCCAAGTGGTTTATGAACTAGCTGCTTAGCTAGATCGCCCCTTGTGCTCTCAGCAGAGATATTCAGTTTTGCTAGGAGTAAATCCATTACGCATCCGTAGCCATCGTGGCTCCTTCGCACTATAGCCAAACAAATGTAATGGAGAACAAACCCCAATTTTAACAACGATGGGTTAGTTAGACATCATTTTGCTTTTTTGTCACGTTTTTCATAATTTGACGAGTATTTTATATACAAATCAATGAAATCATTGTAAATTTGGAAAAAGATCAGCACTTAAGCAGGTGTACAGAGACTTAATTACGACAATAGTCATACATTACATATTTACCTAAACCTTTGATCATTTTGTATGTAACCAATAAATTGAAAATGTCAACCAGAAAAGCAACACTGCAAACAGTTACAAGGAGAGGCCAGGGTGGAACATACATATCGACAAACATGTGTATGTACGTTTTCTCCCACAGAAAGAGCATTGGTGCCACACGAGTCACCAACGTTGAGAACACCAACACCACTGACACCGCCACAAACCACGGACTATCTTTGAGCTTGAAACTCCGAAAAATGTAGAAAATGTTCTTGAACACCGTCGATGAGTGGGACAGAAGCCGCACGCACATGACGTCTTCACCCCACTGAGTGAGGATTAACACGACGATGGCTAGTCCCGCTCCTGTGTGATGCATCGGGATCTGTGAGGTGTCTCGAAGCTTCTTATCCAGCATGTGGGCGATAGTGTCCACAACATAGTGAGCAAGAGTGACTTGCATGAGGAAGATGTTGGCATCGGGTCTGGAGTTGTTTCCGAATCCTCCGGTAGCCAGCAGGTACACACCGACTCCCGTGACAAAGACGGAGTGTACGGTCGAGGAGAACGTGTGGACAAAGTGTCTCCTTTTTTCCGCCACGCTTGGATAGCCCTTGGCAGTGAACATGTTCCCTGCGGCTAAGGACAGACAACGAAAGAAATGAACGATGTCAGGACTATTGTCGCAAAGAATGCCGGAGAGAAAACTTGGCTCCACACTGTAGTTGTGACTGTGTTGGAAGTGTTGGGCCCAATGTCGTGATAATCCTGTAGAAAATGGAGTGAGAGTAAATTAGCCAGCAGGGGTGCTGTCAGGGCTAGGCTAGTGTTATTACAGCACAGTTTTGTGGTTCAGGGGGTTTTCATTAGCACCATTTTGTGGTTCTGGAGTTTTTATTTCAGACAATGCTGTGGTTGGTAGGTGCACAGTGTGTTTTATCTGACTTGTGACTTGTATATAAAATAGCTAAAATGTGCTGAATTTTGGCCAAAAGGAGCACAAGCCAGTTTTCACAGCACCATAAGAATGTCATACTAGATTGACTCAGCAAGCATAACACATGTGCAGTTGGACACCCACCAATGCACATTACCAATGCACATAATTGTGAGATTTCGACCACTAGGTAAGATACCGGTGCTGATATGCTACAAACAGCAATGCCTGCTTGCTACTTTGACTACGTCTGGCTGTCAGGTTTGTCTCCTGCCTGACAATGTTGGTATACCCGTTGTCAGGGAACCCTGTGGATGGGCCGCAACTGTAGGTTGCAAAACAGACGTTAGAGTCTTTGCACACATCATGCATTCAGACATAAGAAGTCTAAAACCTCTTACGCAACCAAATGGACAACTCCAGCTTACGATTCAGAAAACCAACAAAAAATCCATGCTTTTTTATGCGGGGTTTCTGATTTTACGAGCAGTTGACAAGAGTCGCGTGGTGGCTCAAATATGAGAATACCAAATGTGGCTGACATCAGCATGCATGTGCAATATAATTCCAGGTAAAGCTAAAAACTTCGTTTGTCACAAGAATAGCTAACTTCACTTTGTAAAGGTAGCTATACGTTGTAGATGGTGTGCAACGGGTCTTTCCGCCGTAGTCTTTGTGTGTGCACCGTGTGCCAAGCATCGTTAAAGATTAGTGGGCCTGCGGATCACAAAACTTTCTCCCTCTTTGACATGGCTCTAAAAGGGGGATCTCACAATATTAACAGTAGGGGAAAGAATAGGTTCAGTAGCGAAGGTCAAAATGCTTTATCATCATCCACAAAAAGAAACACAAAAATACCCATTGTTTAGCATACTTGCATAGGAATGTCAATATTGATGTTTCGTGTGTGATTATGATATGCTTATGAACATATGCATAGCTGAACTGAAGGACGAAAGCTGCAGAAGTACTAAAAGTATAAGCATGATTGGTGTGATGCGTGCCGCTAACTGTAAATAATGAAAAGCACTAAAGTGCAAATCCTCGGCGAACTGTGCATGCGCGGTACCGATAATTGATGGGCTGGGCCTATTATACTAGTATACGTTTACTCCTGATCTCCCGCTAGTAGTTCGCGGAGAGTCTGACACGGGCTAGCTACAGTAGTACATAGCATGCGGGAGTCAATACACGCTCTTCGTTGTGGCTTATTATGCCTCCGAGGTACACAGGGCAAGCGGATCAGGTCGGGGTAAGCCTGTGCTAATTAGCATATTGGCTTGTTCACTTGGTTTTCACGCCATAACTTCTGAACGCGGCACTTTTACGAAAATCGCTTATTTTAAAATAAAGCCAGTGTAGCGCTGAACCCGCTGGTGTCGCTATTTTACCTGTTTGTTGCACGTGGTGGCAGAAATCGTGGTAACAGACGGACAGACGGACAGACAGACAGACCAAGTACTGTAACCCTCTCTGCGCATGCACGCCGCTGAGGGTTAATAAATAGTTACGAGAGAAGGGACATGCAACAACATTTTGCTCCAGAGGAGAAACTCATCCGTATTATGCTGAGCTCTCATAAGTCTATGCTACTAGCTATAATACTGTCAGTCTTGTCTAAATAGCACGGCTCAAGTCAAAACTCCTTGGTAGTGCTGCCTGTACTGCTATGCATGCTAATGCAGAGATAACGAACGCTCTCTGTCTACCTCATGATAATTATTTGCTCTTGGAAATGAGCAAGAATTATAACCACAATGCCTATTAACTTTTACAAAGCAACCCAGAGTTCAGGCCGACCTTTGATCCGTTCAATAGGCTCATTAGTTCGCACCTGGTCACTATAAAATGAATAATGGTTGCCGATTGCTATTTTCATCTCACAAGAGAGTGTATGTAACAAATGTTCCTCAAGCCACAGAAACAATGCAACAGAGTGTAACCCACATAATCTTTGCTGAAGGAAGTGGAAAAAACAGCAGGGTTTTTGAATTGAAAATACATGCATGGTTTTTATGGCAGACGGGGGTGTACATGTATACATATACATAGGGACCTCCCCATTTCCACGTGATTCACCCAAGCGCTTATGAAAACCCTTGCTAGATGGCGTTAGCAAACTCTACGGGTTTGGGATTGTATTTATACGTACAATGATTATACTCTCTCCACTAAGCAGCTCTGTTCAAAAGCGCTCGGAGACGATAATGTGCTGAAGCGAACCTACCCAGCATGAGCTGCAATGTGCGGTGTGCAGTGAGTAAGGGGCCGCCCGATCTCCGCTCGATTGCCCATATAAGCTAGCCTGCACGAGAACAAAACGACTGACAAGTTGGCGCCATTTCCTGCCGGTGCAACGTTTCAAGGACGAGAGAGTTCGAGAGAAAGCATTAGCTACAGGGCCACCCACACAAATGAACACTCACCATCTTCCAGAGTCCTTCGGACGCTGGGTGTGAATCGGCGGTTTGCACAGACCACAGCTCTTCTGCTCCCGCCATCCTTAGACGTATGTCACGAGTCACATGTATACAGGGGGTTTCGCACATGCACAGTCAATACCATCCCGCCCACCGACATATCGTATGATGCCACCGGTCACATGGTCTTGTGGGTTGCATATGAAAGACTGTGTTTCCGCTTTAGCTGTAAGCATAAGCTTGCCGTGTGTATCTATAGCTAAGTAGGGCGGGTTGTAGGTGTTGAAGCTATAGCTACCAGCTTGTTTGTTTTATAGCTACATAATTTTTTATCCAGGTATATAAGCTGGCTGGGGAGATTCATACGACCCATCTTACGTCGAATGCGCATGCGTCGAGATTACATAATCATTGGTCAGTACGGTGCCACCCCGCCAGTTCGGGGCGCTGGCTATTATAGCAAAGAATTTCCACTTTTAATGTGCAGTTCATGTGATGCATCTCCACACGGACATGGTTTTTTTTTCAATTCAGAGAACACCCAGCTGATAATGTTATAAACTGCGAGTTTGATTCTCGGTGGCAAATCATTTTTACACCACTTTTGTAAGGGCTGAGAACCAGATTGGTGTAACCCACAAGGGCCATTTACACCCTCTTGACATGAAATTACCATTAAAATGCGTTTTTGGCAATATCCCATTGCTATCTCACTTACCCTACCCATATTTCCCCCCATTTCTGCACTCTTTAGGCAATTTTTCCATAGTTAATTTTGGGATATACCACTCCGGTTCTTGGCCATTCTTATGTCTATAGCTATCCTCATTTCGTTGTTAACCCTCGGCGCGCATGCCCAGCTATGAAGTGCCGTTTGGATCAGCCTAAACATCGAAATCTTACACATTCATCCCTGCAGCCCCGATGGTTGAGTTGAGCTGATGTTGGTTCCACTCTCACCAGACAACCTCTGACACACTCAGCAAATTGGATAACACAGTGGAACCTCTGATAAGGGACCCTCCGAGATAAGGATGATCTCTCTACAAAGGACACTCGTTTTAACCCTATGCTAATACTTTGGCGACCTCCGAGATAGGGATGACCTCTCTACCAGGGACATAATCGTTGGCCACATTGTTCAGATGTTCCACTGTAGCTACACAAAATCCTGTGATATCGTATAACTATATTGGTGATGGCATGTTGTCAAAGAGCAATTATTACATGTTTCAACAACTTGGTAGCGAGGTGGAAAGGCAAGGCAAGGCAAACAAAGAAGAAGAGCTGTCCTGGGTGGGATTCGAACCCACGACACTCTGTAGTCTAGGCGTCTAGGCAACATGCATAGCTACACCCATAATTTGCACATAACAACACTAATGCAAAGTTTTTGCACTGGTCTTCCCTTTCCCAGTCTAAGACAACATTGCTATCTACAATCTCTTTAGTTGTTAATATAAAGCTCATGATAACGAGTACAGAGATGTTTATTATGGGGGGAACCTCTCACTAACCTTTTGATAAGTTAGTCCTATTATTCTCTGAACTGAACTGTGGGAATCACTTGAACATCCAAACATCACCACGAGTAATGTTCTCCAACTCGATATCCTAGTAGGAACAGAACACTATTGGGGCAGTGTAACCACACCCGTTATTGTTAGAGAAACTGGTACGGGGAAGTTGAGTATTCTAGGTCTTACTACTCTCAGTGGCGTTTGTAGGATTTACATTAGGGGGGTGCTGCAAGAGCATACTGGGAATCCTTCAATAGTTGTCTTTTCCCATCGCTGGGACGCCTGGACAAGACACAAGGGCAACTTGCTTCTTGCAACAAGCTCCCTCGTGCGTGCCGTCCTTCACGGCATTAACAACTTTGTGGCATGCACGATTCAAAGCAGAGTATAGTATAGTACCAGTACAAATGTACGTACAAGAATGTAAGTCCAGCATTGTGGGTGCGTGGAGAATAGCTGTTTTCTCTCAAATGTTGTATACATGTAAGATACAGAGCTACGTATGTACCTGAGTGCAGGATGTTACACAAATGTACGTACAAGTATATGTACCTATAATGTGTATTGAACCCGAAAAACTGGCTACCTAATTATAGCTTGCCAACATTACTTAGCATAGGGTCGCCGGAAGGCATATTGTGTGGATGGTACGTAGGCACGATCCATCTTCTTGTTTTTCAAGTTATACGTCCAGCATTGTGCGTGTGTGTGTGGAGAATAGCTGTAGTGCCATGGCTGCTGTTTTTCTCTCAAATTTTGTATACATGTAAGATACAGAACTACGTATGTACCTGAGTGCAGGATGTGACAAATCTCGTGACCACAGTGAAAAGTTCTCGTGGGGAGCACTGGGACAGCTTCAGTGTCTGCAGAAGAAGAGGACCAGTCTATGTACGACATGTCAACTTCTGAGACTCTACAGTTTTGTGGAGTGCCACTTTGGGTAAGTTGGGGCAAAACATTTTCTATAAATCATGCACTCAGCATAACCTTTCCATAATTATAATGCCTGTATGCCCGAAACCCCAAGAGCCCTCAGTGTGTGTGGGAGAGCAATTTCAGGCATGAGGAAGTTTTAATGTGTGTGTGTGTGTGTGTGTCTCAATAAGGTAGTTAATTGAGACACGCACAGAAGTCCCAATACTCAACCAAAACTCCTACAAAAGAGGATACCCCCGTAGAGCGCTTCAAGCATTGTACAGCGAATGCGTAGTCGGCCATTTTTTTAATCGCTGCGGAGAATGCGCATGCGGTTATTATGCAATTTCGACCGGGCCCGCTTGCTCTGTGTATCTTGAAGGCACAAGAAGTCACAACGAGGGACTCCCGCATGCTATCTACTATAGCTAGCCCGTGTCCGCGAGCTATACTAGCGAGAGACCACCATGAAATAGCCCAGCCCCCATAAATTAGCAGTACAGCGCATGCGCAGTTCGCCGAGGGTTTGTGCTTTTAATTTTTTATGTATTGCCCCTTATTGTCATCATCTCTTCCTTATTTTAGGCCTATCATAATAATATTATAGCTACCCAGTCCGGGCGCGGATGTTTTTGCGCATGCGCACATCCCGTCGCGGTTACTCAATTAACATTTTACAGTGTAATTTGCGGAGCGAACTATAATGAAGGTTCAATTTATCATTGCTCCCCTTGTACTGTCCCTTATACTCTTCAGTTTACGAATCAGAGGTGATTCTTCTCTCTTCTTGCCACATCAGCGGGGGGGCGGTGGCGCCATTTGCGCTATCTGGTTGATGACGTTCTTTGTCAACCACGATCACGTGGTAGCTACGAAAGCTTACAAACCCTCCAACTGCGGAGTTGTAACACTTGATCAGCGGGTCATTACGGCTGTCTACGACGTACTGGCGCTAGCGCAGTGACGTGTGTGCTTCGAGAGGACTGAAGAAGAAACTCGCGGTGCTTCTGCGGCATGTGAATCCATCATGGCGTCGAGAACCTCCAAGTTTTGCGCGCGTTATGCTGTTCCCGAGGTAGAAATCAAGGGCCTCTTACCGACGAACTCTGAGCGGCGGTGAAATGGGTGAAATTGTCGATACTTGTGCGGCTTTGCATCAACTCCGTCGTAGATCATGACGTTTGGTAGACTGATGCTGCCGCTGAAGACGCAAAAAAATCCGGCGAGGAAGAAGGAAAACGCGTGGGTTGCATCCCTCGTGTACACGCTTTAGAGCGTCTCATGTTTTAACGGCCGTTGCGCTTTCTGAGAGGACACGCAGCGAGTTGATTACGTCTTGTGATTTTATTTTGCGCTTTGATTTGTCGTTTTATTATTTTTCTCTGTTCTATCGCTTGAGCAGCGACGCCTTTCAGCATGGCCTGTAGCGCCGCGAGCTAAGCTGCGGCGATTTTCACTGCAGGGTATAGCGAGAACCACGATCATCAGTCTTTGCCCGTTGTAATGTAAGTTACAACGGCACGCAGTTTCATGCGATAACGTTTGGTGCCGTCTTCCAGGCGCCAATGTAGAGCGCAGGTCACGCATCGACACCGACGAGCGGAACGCGAAGTCTTGGTGACGCTGTGCATGGGAACGGAGAGAATAGACGGCATCTTGTCGGTACTCCTGCTGTCCGTCTACCTGCCACATGTCGCCTGGAAGCGGAAGCTGACGTCGACGCTAGAGCACGACGCCACTGATCAGTGCACATCCAGCGTCTTCTCGCTGAATTCCAGACGGGTAATGCTCGATTTCGACGACGCGGCGGAGTTGTTTGTCTCCTGCAGCAGCAGTTTGCTGAGCTGCGCACGGCATCTCCATTTCCTGAAGTATGGAGGCAGGGAGGCAGCGGAGGCCTTTCGTGGTACGAATCCCGTTTTCTCGGCTATGTCGAATTCGTCCAGAATGTTGCGAAGCGTGTTTGCGAGCAGCCTCGTGCCGCCGGGTGTGCTCGACGGTCGCGCGCTCGAGCGCTTTTATACCCAACGCACAGCATGCGCGGGCGGCGCGCCAGCCTTGCTTTCTGCCACTACCGTGCGCCCCTGGTCCCTCATGCTCACCCCAAGGAATTTGCACCGCTTTTTCTTCCCCATGCCGTGCTTCACATAGCTATGTTGCGTTCTCCCAGTCTTATCACTACCCCTACAACGTTTCCCTCTCCCCGAATATCAGTGAAAGCAGACTAAGTCTACTAAAATGCAGCATTATTGTAATGGCCCACTGATATCGTCAAAAACATCAGAGAGGTATTCTTTTCGCACATGCTGGATGATGTTGAGGTGTAAAAACAAGTCTAACATCTCAATCATTAAACCAGGGATGCAATTTAGTGTCATTATACTAGACTTTAGAACATAGCTGGGTCGTGTTACAACTGGATTCATCCTGGGAGTTAAAGCACGGCTCATATTCAGGTATTCCTTTTGACCTACATAAAAATCATTGCCTATATACAAAAGAGGCATAAAAGGTCAGCTTAAATAATAACCTGTGGCAGTGTGACGGCAAAAGACTATCTTCGGTAACACGGTGAATCGGTAATCAGCATGCACTATGTTAGCATAGTATGGTCCTCCATCACCCACTAGTCTGCATAATCCACACACCAGCAGTTCAAAATTCTTGGGCTGTCATGTAAGTAATTATGGGAGGGTCAAAACAATAATAATCCGCAGCACACCAATAGTAGTGGGCGTGCAGTATAATATTATGGTTCCACCACGTCCACATATTGTTGAAATAACTTCAGGCATTTACTTCTTCACTCCTCAAACTTGCCAACGGTATATAGCACACATTGAGAGTCCTTCGCCTCACTGGTATATAGCTATTGCGTAACATTACACACCTATAATATTATACAGAGCTTGTTGAAGGCAGGGATAGCTCTACAATCTCTGCAGGCCGCTAGAGAATGATTCCGTGTGAGGATTTTTCTGGGGATGGGCGGCTACAGATCGTATCAGTCCACTTTTCCTCCCCCACAAATAAAAGACATACTGGGAACGAGGCTTGTATATATGACCAAATAATGCATGAAAGCTCATATATAGTAGCTACGGTTAGCAGCGGTATAATGGCAATACATTACCCACGGCCAAACATACTCTATGGCCACATTCCACTAAATATAAAACACCTGCATTGTTGGGCTTTCATGAGGGAGGGTCGAAACTCTGAGACCACCAATGCTAGTGGGAAGAATTTTGAGTGTAAACAGCCACACACAGACAGAGTGTTGAGACATGGCAGACACACGTTTCTACATGTACATCTCATTACAGCACAGACAGAATTATTGGTGCATAAAATTGAAAATTGTGTGCGAACCCTGGGGACGCCACGCAGCTATAAACATGATTGCACTGGACCACTCGCTGCTTTTTGTGTCGGTGTAAAACACGTCATACATGACAACAACATTTGGGGTGTTTGCAGATGTTACTCAGGTTGTATACATTATGCAGTGATTGAGAAGCGCTGTGAACGTAGTACTGGAAGTTGTGCCACTTTGCCGCTGCTTAGGGATATTTAACACGGCAATAAAGCTTACGAACATAATAAAAGGTATAATGTTCATGAAAAAATACATAATCCATTTTGGTAGAAATGGTGCTCTTCAAAGTGAATAATATTTTACACAAAATAGGCGAGTAATCCCTCGCACGGATAGGTCTTCATTTACACGAGTGTTTTTAGTTCAGCATCTCGTGGTCAATAAGCTCCATGGCTGATGGTCTTTTGTGAAAATCAGCCTGTAAACAAAGATGAGAACGAGACACTAAAACTGCGAGGAAGTTGTAAATCCTGCAAGGAAGAGGCAATATTTAACCGTTAGTGGAATACCACCTGGAAGTGTTTACAGCACACTTGGTTTCTGTTTATTCTTGGTTCTTCTGTGTGTCTGTCATCTTTTGTGAGTTCCCACCAACTGATGTTACTACCAGCAAAAGCCGCTGGTTACACCCACTGATGTGCAATACATCACTAGCAAGACCGCTCATTGGTCAGATACATTCCTGATACTGGGAATCCTTCAATAGTTGTCTTTTCCCATGGCTGGGATGGCTGGGAGA